TGTAGGTATCTGTCCGATGTGGGACGGCTGCAGGCTTCACCTGCATGTTGTTTTAGGGCCCTGGGCTTCACCGGTCACAGTCCTTGCGAGGCTCAATAGCTGTGTCGTTAGCACAGCTGTGACCTCTGCCAGTATCCCGTGTCAGGGCTGCCGGCCGGGCGGGTCGGTGGCGACTTACGGTGTCGATATGGTTGTCCGGTGACCCACCAAAGCGTCTCACGCCCCGCCCCCGCACGCGACCCACCGCTGACGTCACAACACCACCCAGTGACGTCATAGGTCCACCACTGCGTCGGCGGCCGCGCTTCTGTTGTGTGTGCACAGTGTTAATGTGCACGATGTTATGTGTGCACTGTAGACACGCCCCCGATCAGCCTACGGTGGTCGCCGTGGTTATAGACTCACGGCGGCGCTGCAGAATCGTCGACATCGACGCCGTGTCGGTAGCGACGGACGGCTCGATGACGTATCGTTCGCTGTTTGTTGTGCCCATTACGAGCGGACCATGGGCGCTGGGTGACGCCGTCGCCGAGGAGCGGGCCGGGCCGGGGGAGGGGCGGCGCCACGCGTGCCCTGCGTGCGGGCCGAGCGATCGATGACATCGTTTGTATGCCTGATGATGCCCGCGGCAGGAGGGTGGACGTAGGTCGTAGGAATAACTCTCGCTTGCCGTCCGCCGGGTGTGTGGATGGGTAAAGCTGGGCTGCTTTGTGCGCCGGTGGCGGCATTGACAGTGACACGGGGTCGCGCAGGGTCATGACCCGGCCGCCCGGTTGGCACGGTGACGGCGGCCGTTTTCGGCAGACCGTAGTGACCGCGGTGAACGCGATCGGCCCCCACACCCGATCAATGGCGACGCGCTGAGGTGTGGGCTAATGGCAGTGGTCGCTGGTCTAACAGACCCCGCGTCGGGCACGCACCTGCTGGCCCTTCGTGACTGGGCTGGCCGAACTAAACTGATGGTGACCATGACGCCTACCTGGACGCCTTTTGAGTTCCATGGCGCACAGGTGAAAGGGGATCGCTCACTCGACTCTGAGATCCCTTATCACAGCACAGTGCACAGTGCGCACATTCAAGCGAATTGCCTATCTACCTCCCGTGTATCTTTTTAGTGTCATTACTCATTAGCTACAGTACAGTGTATAATTGCAGTGCCTGGGCTCTGGTCCTTGTTGCGATGCCATGGTACTGGCGCGGCTGAGCGCCGGTCGGTGGTCAGGAAGCCGATGCCCTCTCCCATATCACGTCCACTGACAGTTTCCGAGAGCCCCGACTTCGGTCACGCCCGGAACGACCGAGAAGCGGTGCCGCTAGCGTCTCAGTGGGGTCAAGTTTAGATGAGTTCGGCGTCTCGACTCCGCCGACCGGCCGCCGTTGCCTGCGGTCGGCTTATCTCGGTCGGTCGGAGGGCCATTACCATTCCATGAGCGGTGATCAGGCGTGCCCCTGCGGTGGGCGCCGCTCCCGGTCTGATTGAGCGGCCTGCTTCCTATCACTGTCCTGTCGCCTGTCACACGGCGCACCTCGGCGGCTGATGGGGTCCCCAGGGTGACGGCGGCAGCGGCGACACATCAGAAACGACGCCGGTATATCTGAGACAACGCCGGCGTATCACAGCACACACGCGGGACGGGAGCGGAGCGTAAGACAGAGGCAGTGCATCGGCGGACATCAGATACACCGTCAGCATATCAGAGACTGTCATACCAGGAAGCTGCACGAGTACGATTGTCTGGAGGATGTCCGTACATGAAACCGAATCGCTGCCGCAACCGAGACCGGAAGGGCTGACTGTGCTGGCTGACAAATGTGCTGGCTGGCATGAGACGCGATGTTGGAGCGGATACTTCAGGATGGTTCCAGGCCTTGACTCTATCAGGGTAGTCGTCGGTCAGAATGCTGGTACCCGGTCCGTGAACGATCTACGACAGCCTCAGGCAGCTTCAGACAGCCGGAATTCATCTGTGAAGCCTAGTCCGGTCTTGTGGCGTCCTTGCCTCTCTCTCTCGCTCTGCCCAGATCCCGTGCACATCCATTTCTTCTTTCGATGTCTGCTGTGTCCAGGGCAGTCGCCCCCGCTGTCAGAGGGCGGACGGCCGACCGGATGTCGGCTGCAACTCGGCTGACGCCAGCTCCGATGGCCCGGTTTGTCAGCGATGACGTGTGGAGTGATCCGTGCCGGTCCAGCGTGGCCTGTCGTCTGTCAGTCGTCTCTCCTCTGCCCCTGGTCTCCCGTCGTCTGTCGTCTTATCGTCTACAGCCTTACGCGTTTTTCTTCTGTCGTCTGGTCTCCGCTTTCTATATATTATCTTCCTGCATCTTCTATCAAATATCGCCTTTCGTCCTTCGCTCCATCCTCTAGTCTCTAGGTAGGTATAGTAGGGGAGACCCGGGAGGTATGGGCCGGTTTTGTGAAAAGGCAGTTTTCTTCCAGTGGGAAGTGGTTAGACCCGGTTTTTCACTCTGTGTACGTGAAATTGCCTTTCGCCTGCAAAGTGTGCCCGATATTAGGCATCTGGGATCAACTATTTTGTCTCGAGATAACTTTAAATAAATCATGCGCTTTTTCGATCCATCAAAATACACCGGGAGGTATGGGCCATGGCCCGGGAGGTATGGGCCAGTGCCATGTTTCATATTCTTCTCTCGATAATGAGAACAATACTTGTAGCTGTTATCTACCTTGATCTCTCTTAGAGCCCAGGAACCGCATAAGTGGCCAACAGCTTACTTCATGGGGGTCACGTGGGCACATATGTATTTTGGTAAACGCATTCATGCTCCATGAAATAAGATAAATAATATTTTTCTGTTCGAATGAAATTTGTAGTTATATTTTCGACCTTGCGCGACAAAAATAAAACTTATTGAAGAGGACATTCAATGAAAGCATCATTTCATTGATTTAGGATCCACGGGGGTGGGTGGCCCGAACCTCCCGGTTAGGACGCCAGAATGTGCGGAGCGTCTCAGCTCATAATCTTGCAAGAAAACTTCAAATTGTCTATCCAGTCTTAATTTGCATGCTTTAAACTTTATATTACCGATGGTCTGATACCATAAAACGAGCCTGGGTCAAATTTATCACGAATTTTCTGTACGTACTGTATTTTACTCGAAGAGGGTAAAAACGCTTTATCACCGCTCATTGCCAAAGAAGACTGAGGATTTTTTTGGAAATCACGTGGGTTGTATAACGGAATGGCTGCTACCAGTTTGCGCGGTCAAATGTGTAAAAATACGCAACACTTCTTCAAAACTGCGATGGTCCATACCTCCAGGGGGCCCATACCTCCCGGGTTTCCCCTATCTAGTCTCTCGACTGGCTGAGACGGTGACCGGTATCTACACTGACGTTTGGCAGAGGCTCACAGACCGGGCCGGAGCGGGGTAGGGGCGCCGCCAGACCGGACATACCTTCCCTGACGAACACCGGCTGTCTGAGACTACTTAGATGGCTGACGGGCTTCTCTGAGACTGGGTGTGTCGGCCGTATGACGCAATGTTCGGAGTCCGGAGATGGAGACGGATTGCAACTGGGGAGCCCGCCCTGTTCGCCGGGTAAACATTTCACATCTCGAAGGACTCGGCGCATGTTGGTCGCAGTGTCATACCATGTTCAGGATGAACCCTGTCGGGGCAGCCATGGGTGTACCGGGCGGCCTCTGTGCCTGCTGTGCTGGACGCGGCCACCCGCGGGAGATGCAGCGCGGACCCTGCACCGGACCAGGCTTGGTGGTCAGGGTCTGCTGACGAGTGGTACCAGTGTCCAGTTATGCAATCCCGTCGGGACCATGTCACCAGAGTGTGAATTATGTTTGGTTTTTATTTGCTCATCACCTCGACTGGCAAGGGAGTCGGTCGACTTTTCGAGAATGGTTTGTCACCAGTGCCCGGCCTTATTAAATGCAAGCAGGGCTTGTATTGAACATGTTAAATACATGTTAAATACAAATACAAGCAGGGCTTTCGAAATAATTGCACCTGTATTTTCCTCAGTGCAACATTTTAAATTGGAGCCTGTGATGAACCTTACTTATATATTGCTCGGTGTATGCTGATTTAATGATCATTTGGAATGCAAATGCTTATTTATTAAATTTAATAATTAACTCTGTCATGCTGATAAACGCCTATACATGTCAAGTAGGTGAACGATTCATAATGCAAACTGAGGATCTATAATTTATTTTGCTAATGTTTGCCAGTAAACGGCACCAGGCAACGTATACACAAAACAGCGCCGGTCACATGTATGCTGCGACGCGGCATTCATGCGGTGCCGTGCTTTTGCTTATTTTTCACATGTGTGCCGAACAGACCCGGTTCCGGTAATGTCTGCATTCAGTGGCTGTTAAGCTGCCCACACGATTTATGTAATGTATCTGTCAATGTTGACTTGTGTTTCCGTTTGTCTGCACACGGGCCCAGTTTCGGTCATGTGTGTCCTGCTCCTGTATCTGTGTGTATATGTGATGGCTGCACGCCCGCTGTAAATGCGGCTGTCGCTGCTGGATTCAGCTGCTGATATGTCGATACAATTCCGCTGATTCAGTAAGTCTGACGGCGTCTGTCGTCGGGCTCGGGTCTCGGCCTATTTTGGTCGGGGCGTGTCGATACATCCGGCCACTGTCCCGTCTGCAGACTGTCTGGATTGTCTCCAGTGCTGTCTGAACGTCTGTCTGAAGGACCTCGCGCTCAGCGTTTACCCCGATGTCCTGTCTTCAGTACTATCTGGTCGTCCGTGCGCCGTCTAGACGGACCTCACGGTCAACGCTTACCCCCTTTCCAATACTGTCTTCTTGTCGGCTGGATGAGGGGATCTCGCACTCAGCATAGCACATGCTTAATGGTTTTCCTGCGGTCTTGTCGTAGTGTAGAGTTTAGTCGTCCGTATTCAGAATCTCGCGCTCACCGTTTGTCACGTTGCCCTGTAGCCTGCAGCGTAGAGACTTCTCTAGCCTTGCGTTTACCATGTGCCTCCCGCTGTGTTTCAGACGGTACAAGTTTCATCGGAAGGACCACTTGTCGCCACGGGAGGAGCCCTGGCCAGGGGTTACCATCCTGAAGCCGCTTATCGGTGGCGACTCGCTGCTCGCCACAAACCTAGAGTCTTTCTTCACCATGAACTACCCTTTGGTGAGTGAATGGAGCTTCTGTGGTGTCTTGTTTCATTGACCTGCAACCAGGAACCTGCTGTAGGTATTGATGACACACCAACTGTGCAATGTGCTGTGTGGTGCTGGTCTACGACCAGCTGGGTCTTGTTGAATTTACCAACAGCCATTCCATGTGTATTAGCGTGTACTGCCGCTGCAAATGCATAGTAAGCACATGCAACTCGGTATAGAGGGACCACAAACTGGCATTTTGCAGAAGACTGTTCGTGGTCGCGTTTTTAAAAGCAATCTGCCATAACTATTCTAAAATTGCTCTTTTATGAACGTTGGCAACCCTACAGTAGCTCCGGGACTGCAAAACATTATTTACAGCTGCATGGTCTGTGACCCCTACGCGACCCTATTCATGGTCACGTGATCCAATTGTGGACCGCAGCCATCGGACACGTGGCCTGGCGCGTGCCGCCGGACGTGGTGACACGTGACCTGATCAGCAGTCTCATCAGGTCACGGAGGGGGCGTGACCCGGCGCGGTGACCTATAGAGATACGATGGCGATATGTGGGTGTCTGAGACAGTCTGTGGGACTCCACGAATCACGATATTAGAATGAATGTCAGGCACAATGGGTGATGGTATTGGTGACATGCGGCCAGGATTTTTGACGCAATAGAAGGATATTAGGGTCAGCCCAGGCATGGAGCCAAGTTGAGATTTCATGTTTCCACTGCTCTTGGTGTGGTTACTAGGCCTGTTTTAGCTTGTTTCCATGACTCGTGTTGACGGTTTTGTGTCGTGGGTGTGTAATGTGTTTCGTGATGCTTCCCGTGAGTCGTGTTGTTGTGACTACCTATCTGAAAAAATCCTGTTTATGACTATGTGAGTCGTGGGTGATGTTTCCATGGTGTGGCGTGTCGATTTCGTGGGTGTGTTCACTTTAAACTGCTAGCTGTCTATGTAGAAGCCAACATCGATTCAGGGCCATGCAGCGATGCATGTTTATGACTAGGATTCCTATGAACACGCCGGTGTCAATTTCGCTGCGCTTTACCCGATCCTGGTTGGCAGGGGTGGCTCTGCCGCGGGATGACAGGGGTCATGGGGTCACGGGGTACGGGTCCATGATACGGCATCGGTAGATCACGTGGGCGCAGTCACGGAGGCTGACTATAACGATGCAGTCTACTGAAGTGGTGACGTGATTCACCGAGAAATAGTCGGACGTGCTGGGTCAACTGCGCTCTGTTCTCGGCCTGCCGTGACCTCTATGGGGCGTATGATCCAGCGGAAACCCGTGTACCCTGAGGCCCGGGCCGTATAGAGGAAGGGGCCCTGTTTCAGTACGCTACCAGACGCCAAGTGTCAGGACTTGGTAGAATATTGTCATACACGATATTCTGTCTTTACGCTTGCATTTCGTATCCCTTGAACTATTGCTCTGTTTCTTGGTATAGCTACTACAGTAACAAAGTACACCTGCGTTTCGTCGTGTAGTAGGCATCGTCCAGTGATTTAATATAACTGTTCGTTTGATGCCGGTCGCTTAGGCTCGTTTACTGAGTAATGAGTCCGGCGTGTAGGTACACTTGTACAGGCAAACTTCATTCATTTGTGATAAGGTATAGCACGTTAAGTTCTGCAAAAACAGCCCGTGCCCTCCTATAGCGCACCCAGATCGTCTCCATATGTTGGCCCCGCCGCTCTCTGATCTGCCTGAAGTCCCCTATAGTCAGCCGCGGCTTTAGGACAGAGAGGGAGATGTCTCGGGTGGCACTGGAATCCGGGAGGGATGGGGCCCGAGTTGAGGAGACGGCACCTGTAAACACCTCCCGCTGTCGGCGCCGACACCCCGCCGGGAGTAAACAAAAGCGTCGGCGTCGACGTTAGGGGGGAGGGGGGGGGGGGTGTCGAGGGGAGGGCTGTAGCACATAGCGGACGGACACTGGGGGGTCCAGGAAGTAGGTCAAATCAATGCTTTATTTCCGTTTTGTCGGTAACCAGGACTAGAGGAATCGTATCCGGAGCGACATCACCTTTTTAGGTGGCGATTAGATCGGCTGGTTTCTGCGCATTTTCTGCCGCAGCCATCAATCGATCTCCTCACTCGCTCAATAGCCAGCGAATAGCGGACTGTGTCAAACGGCACCCCACCCTCCCCGGCCGAAAGGTCTGACCCAATTAGCCCTCTTGGGGGCGGTACCCTCGGCCGCCTCACTAATGTCCATGTCAATATCCGAACAGCGCACTAACCCGCCAGCTGGCCATTGGCCTTGTGTTACCATGGCGACCAAAATAGTGACGTCACACCAACTTGTCTGTAGAATTAGCCGGGGTAATTTGGTACTTTCTGTGAACGCCAGTCACTCCTGTCTCTACATATATGGGATCTTTTGTTTTCTTGTTTTTTTTTTTTTTTTTAGCGAATGCTACAAAAAAGGCCATCTTGGCGTTTTAACATGAGTCACCAGTGGTAGGGGAGAGTGGGGTAAGATGCCCAGGGTGGGAAAGACGCCCCACCCCCCCCTAGAGGCGAAACAAAGAATCGGACCTGGAAATTAATGTTCTTAGCGTAAAGCGGAAGCCTGCCTTGTTAACTGCACAAAAAATTGCGAAGCTCAGTTGGGCAACGGCTGGCTGATGGTTGCATGTTTTTTATTTGCTGCTTTCAAAAAATATTTTGGTGTCAGAACATTGTAAATATCAAAGAAGGTAAATAATTTTTGCGTCCCTTGCTATAGTCGTGATACATTAACATGCGTGTACTGTGTCCCAAACAGTTTGTTTCAGGGTGTACTTTTATGGCTAACAAATTGTACTGATTTAATGTTACTTCGGTACCTTGGGGTAAGATGCCCCCTGTCCTGATGGGGAAAGACGCCCCCCTAAATCCGTAGGCTGTCCTTCAAACAGCCCGTCAAATCATTTATTACATACTTGTGATGTAGACAAAAGCCGATCTGGGACTATTGAGAGTCCAGTACGGTCGGGTGCTCCCCATGCCGGTCTCTCGGCCCACATAGCGACTTTTTGGGCGGCATCTGACTCTGAGAGCCCTCACGACGACCTCTGTGGGCCCCATTACTGGCTCTAGGGCCCCTCACGACATCCTTTGAGGGCTCCCACGTTGGCCCCACGGGCCGCGCTGGCATCGGAGGTCCCCACGATGGGCTCGAGGGCCCTCAAGCATCATGAAGACCTATAAGAGCCCCACAGTGGTCTCCGAACGCCACCACGGAGGCTTGTTTGGCCGCGCTGGACTATGATGGCCCTAACGATGACCTCTGAAGCCCCTTACGACTACTTTTGAGGGCCCTTATGATGACGTTTGGTGTCTTCTGCAGGCTCGAAGGGACTACTGATTCGTTCAGGCGATTCACGTGCCCATTTATGTCACTTATAGTGCAGGGGGCATCTTTCCCAACGTCAGGGGGCGTCTTTCCCACCCTGTGGGGTAAGATGCCCCCTTTCACTTCTTCAGGAAAATGCTTCATAGCAAAAAAAGTTATCATATTTCAGGCACGAAAGTGTGATATTTTTGGAGAAAAATGATGTCGGCTTCCGTTGAAACTCCAAGTTTTTGCTTTCCCATCGTCATTTTCGAATAATATATGACATAGCGAAACCCTGGGCATCTTTCCCCACTCTCCCCTATTACCTAAAGACCAGTTAAAATTAAGGCCCAAGAAACAAAAATAATACAAATATAATAAATTGTATTCTTATAAAACGCCTTCTATCAGAGTTACCAAGTCATAAGAAACTAGGTAGAGTGTTTTGGACGGACTATATATCATGTAAGGTTCGCCCGGCTTGTGTATCAAAGTTGAACTTAAGTTCCCTGAAGCTATTAGCTGGTCGGAACTTTGAAATAATTGCTTCTGCTCCTGCAAACTTCTGTCCCACTTCATTTTTTTGTGACCAAGTTATTTATAACTTGCTAGATAGACATCCCACTTTTGTTTTTTGCCTTTGTAACATTATTCTTTCTCGCTCAAAGTTATCAAAGGTATTAGGGTATTAGCTGTCGGCAGTTTCTGCTGCAGTCTGGCGGTGTTGACAGTTTTTGCCACTTCCCGCAACATTACGGGCATTAGCGCGGCTCGCAGCGACCCGGTTTGTGTGTGACAGGCCCGCCGGAAGCGCGTGTCTGCCACCCACAGCCCTGCCCGGAGTGTGTGCGTGTATTGAGCCGTCAGTGATTGGGCTCCAGTGCGCTGAGAGTCTGTAGAGGGACTGGACATAGCTGCCGGGTGCGCTGAGAGTCTGTAGAGGGACTGGACATAGCCGCCGGTCTCCTGTGCTGCCGCGCACCGCACGCTGTGGCAAATGACTGCTGCTGGGACCGATAAACAGTCGGGCTGTGATGTCGGTGTGCTTGGCGCCGGGAGGATCCTCAGCTCGCCATCTCTTCGACGTGCAGTTCCTCAGTCCCTCCTGCCTAGCTCCTCGGTCCCTCCTGCCCAGCTCCTCAGTCCCTCCTGCCCAGCTCCTCAGTCCCTCCTGCCCAGCTCCTCGGTCCCTCTGTCCAGCCCCTCAGATCATCGATGCGCCTCTCAGCCCCCACAGCCCTGTCGCCGCAGCTCCCAGCTCCTCAGCTCTCCGCTGCCCAGCTCCTCAGCTCTCAGTTCCCGCAGCCTTATCGCCTCGGCTCTCATGCAGCCCCGCAGCTCAGCTCCTCTGCCCTCAGCTCCCGCAGCCCCGTCGCTGATCGCCGGGCGCGAGCTGCGGGCCGTTATCTCGTTAGGCCGTCACTCCGGTCCTATTTGCCGGCCGTATGAATGGTGGCGCTCCATCGCGGCAGTCTGTGCCGGCCGCTGACAAATTGGCTCCGTAATCCGGCAATTTGGCCCCGGCAGCCGTCCTGCCCCGTCCCCGTCCCCGTGCCCCCGGAACTCCGCGGCTGATACAGAGTGGTACGGCTGCGTGGCGGTCGGGATTTTATAGCTAAAGCGCGGTAGAGCGGATGACGACAGATAAATCTTACGCCAAATGAATTTTTGATGGGATATGATTCCGGAGCTAAAAGATATCTGAACTGACCTCGGGACTGTTCGATACACTCGGACGTCTGATTTCGAGAGTCGCATCATTGCATTTGGTATAGAAGCTGTGCATCCGCATGCCTGCCGAGTGCCGAGTGTCGATGTCTCCTAAAACATGTCCGGGATTTTACCACCGCCGTCCGCTGTCCCCTAAAAGCGATGTCTGCAGAAGAGGCGCCGCCATGTCCGGCGTCTCCAGCCCTGTGACAAATGGCATTTGAGCGGCTCTCCCGGCTGTGATTTGTCGCCGGACACCAGTCAGCCGTGAAATGGCCGCGCTGCACCGCCGGCCACCGTGAGCTGCGGACGGAGATTAGGCGTAAAACGCGAGAAGTCGCTTCCGTCATTTGTGCTGATGTGCTCCGTTAGTGTGATGGGCTGTTTTTAGTGTGCTCTGTCGGTGTTCTGATGTACATATTCTGTTCTGTAATTGTGGTGGGATGTTTCGTTATTGCCCCAGTGTGCTTGCTAGTCTACGCTCTTCTGTTTGTGTTCTCGTGGTGTGCGCTGTAATACGAACAAATGTAGATGAGTTTTGACGGCCGAATCATAATGTGTGCCGGTTATATAGAGCAGGACCTCGGGTAGTTATACACGTTATACAGATGACATTTTGCTACATGCAACCTGATAGCTGCTTATTTCCTCTCACAGGCCGGCCGTTTGTGCTGTCTGCAGCCTCAACATTGTTCATATGTCAATGTTATATCCTATCGGGTGACACTCGCAATGTATTCCATTGGTGCTGATGTTAACCCTTTTTCTGTTCCCATTGTATGTTTAGGTGTCATTTGCTCTCGTTTTTGTGCTGTCATGCATTCCAACTAACACCATTGTACTTCTTGCATTTCAGTATGAAATCATGTTCTGCATACAAAACGCCAACGACCCTGTTATACCACTAGTCAACGAGTTAGTCGCCAAATATCCCACCATAGATACGAAGGTCTTCATAGGTGAGTAGAAACCAACGTTCTCCGTCTGTATACTGGTCTGCTGGCTCAGTTTCCAACCGGCCTCGCCGTGACGGTTTGAGAGCACGTGCTTCCGCTGAGCGCTATTCCTGTCCCCTTTGACGGCTCCCTGTTATTCTCAGCTCGCACTGATATAGACCACTTGGTCCGCTGCGCCGGTGCGGTCTAAATTCTGGGCGCTGGCGGTCTAAATTCTGGGCGTCGGCGAGCTAAATTTTCGGCGCCCACTCGGGCGGCAGAAGTGTCCCGCAGAAGCGCCCTCGACCGTTCGGATCAGAGCGGCCGGGCCGTCGCCTTCGCCGCCGCGGGGCCAAGCCAAAGAAGGGTTGAAGGACTGTCCTGGGGGACTGAAGTCCGATCTGAACACGGCACAGCCGAAGGCGTTGCCACAGGGGAAGCAGGAGGTTGAGGTGCAACTTTAGGGTTGCGATGAAGTGGCTTGGAAGGTGCTGACTTCGCAAATATTTTAAGCTGATTTATGCCGTGTATCGACAAAGAGAGGCAAAACGTTTAAGGAGGCTGTTGTGTTTAAATTTATCTAACTGCAAAGATAGTTAATGCCGATTTCAATATAACTATTCGGTTGGAGAGCTCTGTTTTAATCTTCGCGTTTATTTATTGTTTTCTGGAAGAAGCTGAAGGCTCTATATGTCTAAACTTTGCCGTCATTTGTTTGTCTGCAAAGTTGTGATAGCTATCTCAAATAATTATGCTAGAAGTTTCCATACATTTCACAGAAGTCCTGTCTTGGAATTGCTGGATCGAGTGATTCGCGACATTTCGGGACGCAGTGACCTTCCGCCAGCGGCATTGATATTTGACGAGGTGTTTCGGTCATCGCTGTAGTCTCAGGTCTGACGTTGCTGTCCGACCGAGCCAGTCTCCGGCGCAGCTCAAAGCACGCACAATATTGAACACACCGTCCGGCGAGCCCTCTGTTCTGTGGATGGCACGCGCCACCGGGTCGGGAACGTGCCCAGAACCGGTTTGTTTCTCTCTTAGTGTTGTCGTGTTTCTCGTCAATGTGTCGCCGCCGGCGGGGAGAGGTCGCGGACGGAGGAGAACCCTACAAAGAGAGGGAGAAAGAGAGGGAGAGCGGGAGATGGTGAGAGAGACCTGCAGCCTAGCTCGGCCGCCCGCAGGAGCGGAGTCGGTTCTGACTCGTGACTGGAGAGTGGAGATCGTTCTCAGACTGCAGCTGTCCAGTCCCGTCCGTTCTATATTGATTCAATTGGTTAGGCGGACTGGGGCGATTATATAGGCTTCGGCGCCTGACCTCACAAGCTGCCGTCTGCCTCGTCCGTTGGAGGGTCTGAGGTTGACCGGTCAAAATCAGAAGCGAAGTCATCAGACGACGGGCGTGTCCTTCGATCTCCTACAAGCCCTACCGGTCATAGGCAGTTCGAGCCGCCTCCAGTCGATACGTGACCGCTCATGGGAGTCGTGCAGGGCCCGGATTAGTCGCCGTCTGACGAGTAATTGACTCATAGTGCTTTATCTGGCCACACGTGAGTCGTCCGCTGCCGGTCTGGCGCCCACGGTCTACAGGAGAGACCCATACGGCGGCGGAGGCCACCGTTTGGGAGGCTCGTGGATACAGGCTTTTATGGACCGACAGGGAACGCGGCAGCACGACGCCGCGGCCCGGCTCGCGTGGCCGCGCTTATATAAGTTACACGGGCATTGTCTGCCATGAGCGGGCACTGCCGCGGCCCCTTGTCTGTGTAATCCGGTCTGGAATTGATGATGTGGAACCGGCATGATTTAGTTGTCTGGAAAGCAATGGCTGCCGCGCCGGTCATCGCGTGCCCGGCCAGCAACCGAGCCTTGCAACATCAACATCTCTCCCCCACTCACTCTCCTCCCGATCTCGTCTCTCTCTCTCTCTCTCTCTCTCTCTCTCTCTCTCTCTCTCTCTCTCTCTCTCTCTCTCTCTCTCTCTCTCCCTCCCCCTCTCGAACCAGATCAGATACTCGCCATGAACGCAAATCACCGCCGGGGCCGGCTACCCGTTTGCCTTGAGATTCAGTTTGGGAAGGGATGGCTATGTTCCGGTGGATGGCGCTGACCCCCGCTCAGATTCTTTTAGTATTCATCTTGGTGCTGGTCGGGGGCCGTGTTCGTCAAGCCTCCCCTGGCTACTGTGGCTCCGTCGTAACGGTGTTCTTCGGTAGGCCTGGTATGACCCCGACCGGCCGGCGTGGTTCGGAGGAATGTGTCCCTCCCCACCGAGCTGTCAGAGCTCAGGCTGGCGGCTGGCCGGCCGGCCGAGCGGAGCTGGCATCGGGCCAGCGCGGACACCTGAGAGGCTCGGCCAATGTCAGCGGGAGGGGTGCGGGGAGACGCCGAATTCCACCGGCGCGACCGCGGCCGCCACCGCCGGCCATGGGACGTGTCACCGCTTTCCGTTTCGGAGGAATTTGATTAGCATCGCCGGCTTTCTCCTTTTCCGGAACTCAGTGGCGTGGAAAGCGGCTCGGCTGTGTCGCTTTTTGTTTTCTATCGTCGGTAATTTATGGAGGATACTGAGCTTTACAAGCGACCCTCAATTTGTAACGTGGATTTATCTTCTGAAATGGCGCTGCTTTCCGGCTTGTGTGGTGGTGTTTTGCTTTCCGAACATTGGATGCATTCCATCAATTCGGTTTTCCGTGCGACTATTTCTCTGAGAAGGGATGAGGATGAATAAATGTATGAATGGAATGACTTGAGGACGAGACTCGTCCGTTCCAAGGCTGTTCGGCCGTGGACGACATCTGCATATTGATCGGTAGTTCCACGCGTCGGCCGTCTGTGACACATGTCGTGTTTAATGGCGACGGGTCACTGACACCGACGACTACCCGCCGGGGCTGGGGCACACCCTAGCTCTGCGAAACTTATTCCGTCTCTGAAGAATACTGTTAATATTATTCTAAAAAAATGTTAGATTCTTTCTTCTTTGGGTCCGCTACAGAGGTCACAGACTGTCCTGCCAGCGCGCGCACACCAGTCACTGTCTCGGCACTCGACAGGGCCGTCATCAAACGCTCCTCGGCATAAAGCACCGTCCGCATCCGGCTCAGTCTAGTTCTGTCTGGTCCAGTCTATGGATCGTGTTTATTATTTAGCATCGCCTGCAACTTGCTGCGTATTAGGCATGGTACGCGGCTGCTAAGCTATCATGTCTTATGTGCTTGTCAGACTTCTCGGCATTCTTGGAGCTTCTTGACAAACTAATACGCCATTTTCCGCTCTCTTGAATATCGGCAACTAATATTGTACGATGTTGCATTATTCATGGAATGATCCATCACGTGAGGGGACGTATGAGGGAGGGGGCCGCGCTGCCTGCGTGACGATGTCGGAGCCAGTCAGCAGCTGCTCCCCTCCCCCTGCTCCTGATCCGCGGCCTTGGCAGGGTTCCGGGCAGCGACCGGCGGTATTTCGACTGTCGCCCATCGGCTCCGTAGCGACGGTCGTCGGCGCTGTCGTGACCCGTTAGGGGGCGCGGCGTCACCCCGCGGGAGTGGTCGGTGTTCTGTCACCCACCCAGGAGCTGCTCATGGACGTTAGTTCTCCGTGCTGGCGAACGGTTACGACACTGGGTTTGGGTCGCTATGTGGGCGGAGCCGAACTGACCGATCGCATCTCTGGGATCGGACGGCGCCGGGTCTCCCATCCGTCGCGGTGCCCGCAGGAGCCGTCTTCCCCTCTCCTCTTCCAGCTCTCTCTGGCGGAGCTGTGACGTCACTATCCGGACCGCGGGGGCGGTGGGGGTGGGTGGAGGCGGCGCCCCTCTGGGCGGAAGGCCGCTCGTCCGTCACCGCGGGCCGCGCGCCGGCAGTGCCATCGACCCGGCGTCATCCGGCCGCCATCGCCGCCACTGTTCTCTGGAGACATGTGTGGCCCTGACGGCGCCGGCCCGGCCGCTGTGCCCTGATTTAGTCGCCCATGACCGCTGATATAGCGCAGCCCTCACTCAGGACTCGGCCGTTATATGGAGTGGAGCGAGCGGGCGGGCGCGATTCGGCTGCCGCGGTCCGAAATTCGGGACGGGTTTCATAGGCGACTTGGGACGGGCATTGGGGTGAGAGTTGTGAATGCCACTGTCGGAGAATGTTAGAGGATGGCTTGGAAAACCGCCGGAGCTATTCTCTGAATAGGCTACCGGAGGAGAGATCAGAGAAATCTCCGTGGGTACGCCTCTGCACGGTCCTTTTTAGAGCCACCGCTGACGTTCCGCCTGTCCCGTCAAATAGCCACGACGCATCGTTTCGAATGCATTTGTTCATCGCATGCCTTGCTATTTAAATAACGATGCCCACTCGTGTATAATATGATTCTTCATCCTAAACACTGCATACCGACTGCGCTTAAGCAGATGAGTTTTGATATAAAGCCTTTGCTGAATACATAATACTGAAAGTAAGCTCCCTTGGTCTGCCTGAATCTCCGTTTCACGATCCAGTCGCGGCTTAGCCTACATTCATGAACGGGTATGGCCGGTAGGCTCGCCCTTGAATTTGGCCCGCTTTGCCCTTGGTGTGGGCTCTGAGGAGGCGGTATACGGTGAAAGGCGCCGTGGCGTCCGGCCCGGCTTCTTCGCGGAAAGCCTTGGCGGCGCCATGGGTCAGGAGCTGTCACGTGCTCCGGAGTACGGGCTGGAGGGGCACGGGCCGTGCGTCCGTGTCTGTGAGTGGCCCGTGCCCCTGGAAGACGGGGCACGGGACATGGGCCGGTGTCCATGTCGAAGGCTGCTCGACAAGTTTTTTTTTTGCCGGATGGCGATGGCATGTTGCCGGTTGTAGAAAAACAATTCGTTCGTGATGAACATAAACCGATCCTGCTGATCAGTTTACCGGGAGTGACCACAAATTCCTAATTGGGGTGGGGTGGAATTCACCTGTTCGGGTGACGTAAGTGGGCAGCAGGTGAACGGTTCCCGATATAGACCCCGCATTGCATGACTTTCAGTCACGGGACATCAAGGCTACTTTACATGTAGGTAACTAAATGGTGAATCGATTAAATACACTCGGCATAGAACGTCTAGGAGAACTTTATTTCTGGTATGTGTAGGTATTTTATACCAGCTTGCCATTTATGTTTCACGAGCTCAATGCGGAACAAAATTGGTCTGGTGTGCATAGCAACATTTATGTTGCAATGACGGAATGGCATTATGTTGACTTACGGCGCCATAACCATAAATGAATAGTGCTGGTCTAACTGCCTTATGGGTAATGTTGTGCCATTTTTCAATTAGGGGCACCCCTGCACGCATTTCGCCTGTCTACATGCCTTCCAATACCCTCAGCCTCCTGAAACGGAGCTCCACAGTGCACGTTCCACTGCAGTGGAACGGCGTCGCGCGGCGGGCTTGGCGTTTTATGAGGCGCCGTTCGGTCGCCGATGGCTGCGACGTCGGCGCCGGCCGGCCGGCGGGCTGCGCTCTATTCCTGGCCGCACGGCCATGGGTCATTGCCGATGGCGGGCTGATTGTTGGCCGACGCTATACAGACGACCGACACTGTGCAGCCAGCCAGAGCTATATGCTATACAGACGGCCGACACTATACAGACGGCCGGTGCTATACAGACGGCCAAAGCTATATGCTATACAGACGGCCGACACTATATGCTATACAGACGACCGATGCTATACAGACGGCCGACACTCGGCCGGTGCTATACAGACGACCGACACTATACAGACGGCCGACACTATACAGACGACCGACACTATACAGACGACCGACACTATACAGACGACCGTCCGACACTATACAGACGGCCGACACTATACAGACGACCGACACTATTATACAGACGACCGACACTATACATGGACGACCGACACTAGACATGGACGACCGACACTATACAGACGACCGACACTATACATGGACGACCGACACTATACAGACGACCGACACTATACATGGACGACCGACACTATACAGACGGCCGACACTATACAGACGGCCGACACTATACAGACGAGCGACACTATACAGACGAGCGACACTATACAGACGACCGACACTACACAGACGGCCGACACTATATGCTATACAGACGACCGACACTATACAGACGGCCGGTGCTATATGCTATACAGACGGCCGGTGCTATACAGACGGGGGACGGCTGACCGCTTGACGCTATACAGACGGCCAACACGTTATTCTTTATATACATAGACGGCCGACGGTATGCGCTACAGAAAGCCAACGCTATACTGATTCTTTCTCACTATCTGAAGTTTTCCCTCGGTCTGAGAACTGTTTACTGTTCAGTCTTATAGCTTGATGGTCAATGACTATGCATTACTCCCGATCCGTTGCCATGCACGAACTGGTGAACTTTGAAATGTTCTGACCCCACCGTCGTATCTTTCTGTTTCAGGGGGTAAGAAAGTGGGCACCAACCCAAAAATCAACAACCTTCAGCCCGGGTACGAGGCAGCCAAATACGATCTCATCGTAGTTTCTGACAGCTGTATCCGCAGTAAGTACCTACTGTCCCGCCATCTTTTTTAATTTACCCGATTATTTTGCAACTAAACGGGCTTAGACGCCCATTTTTAAAGCCCAATCCGAAGAAACAGCTTGCCGCACAGATCCTAGCCCGACTCTCCCGCTAGACCAATGCCCCTTGGCGCTCACTGCTCACATGATTGGTACGCTCTTATTATTCGTTTTCCTTTGACTCCTTTGAGTGTGATTGGCTTGGCCGCCACATAGAATCGTCATATAGGGTCTGTCGTCCTGGGGATATCCGTCTATTTCTGTCTATAGGTGTCCGCTGTATGGCGCGGTGCCGGAGTAAATGAGCGCTCGGTGCGCTGTCAGCTAGCTGTCCGCTGAGCTATTTTCGCTGCAGTGACTGCCAGTCCGGGTGGCGACAGTGGACTGTGATTCTGTGGTCTGTGAGCGACTGTGATCGATGGCCTGTGACTGTGATTTGCCGTGGGACTCCCCGCTCTATGGCAGGCGGTGTGAGCTAGTCGAAGGTGGGGCAGGTTGGTCACCTTGCTGGGCTGTGTGGAGTTGTGGACTGTGTGGAGTTGCGGACTGTGTGGAGTTGTGGACTGTGTGGAGTGGTGGACTGCGTGGAGCTGTGTGGACTGTGGAGTCGTGAGCTGTGCGGTGGGGTGGCAGTGGTGATGAATAGATGGAGGGGGAGCCGGCAGTGAATATTGAGTAGTTACTGCTGTTGGTTTCGGTGTTGGTAGCGTATGTCTTGGAGGCGGCACTCAGTGATAGACGGCAATTAGGGGTTGGGAGTATGTGTATACAGAAAGGTGTGGTGTTTATTGTGTGGTTAGCTGCGCTGCTTTTGACAGCAGTGCATGACACCAAATCGCGTAAACTAGTCACACCATTCAGTATGTGTTTTGCTCGGGTTTCTGTCTGCTCTGGATGGTCCTCGTCCGTTGGTTTTCCGGTGCATGTGTATTTGCTAGTGTCCTGTTGTCTGGTTGAGAGTGGAGAGACGTCCTCTGGTCATGTGAGTCGATAGGATGGTTCAGGAATAGTTTGGGTGCCCCCTCGGGCTAAGTAGGCTACATTATTACACTCCTGATAAGAAATTCAGCGACAGTAATTGCTTGAAAGTAGGGTAAGCTCAGCGTCGCTTGTATGTTTGCTCAACAATGAGTTGGACTGCATGAAAGATGAATTAATTAGGCCTTGTGTAATGTTACTGAGTGTCCTGGCTACGCACTCCTTACACTTTGAAGTGTTTGTCCTCATATATCAAGTTTAATTAACCATCGTGCCCGACAATTGATGCTTGCGCCACAGTTTATGTAACAGTGGTCCAGTTATTAAACCAAACGGCAAACACATTATATATTTAGCAGTCCCGTTGTTGCAACTTGATTCTGCTCTGCAGTGGAACACACCCCATTCGTTCCCTTCATGGCCGATTAGCTGACATTTGCAGTTTAAATTAATATTGGATTGCAAATGAAGTTGAAATTCGATGAAATATTAGTCAACGATTGCATCTTGCTCTGCATTGCTACCAACAGCCATGTGACTCGTGACGAATTCACTGTCGTTCCCTCGCCCCCTCCTCGCCTCCGCTCCTAACCACAGCCGGTCTGACACCCCCCCCCCCCCTTCACCGCCAGTGAAAGAAGACACGCTGATGGACATGGTGCACAACATGACGGCCCGTGTCGGACTGGTGCATCAGATGCCGTTCACCTGTGACCGGCCCGGCTTCGTCTCCGTGCTGGAAAAGGTGGGTGCGATCCTCCCGGTCCTCAGTCGTCGCTAACAGCCCAGAACAGTCGCGCTGCGCTAGTGAAGGACAGGGGACGGCGTAGGACGGCGCTCTTTGAAGTGGGAGGGAGGAGGGTGGGGATGGCTGCAGCCGAGTGCAGTTCGGTGCAGACTTCTTGCGAGTAGTTGGCAAGTGGGTGCGATGTGCGGGGCTGCACGCTGAGTACCAGATTGCAGCGCCCTGCGGTCGGGGGTGATTGAGGTTCATGACACGTGATTGTGTTGCTAGCGCGTGAAATGGCGACAGTGATTCATGGTGGTTCATAAAGCTTGAATAGCCATGACCGTTCGGTGACATTGACTGCTATTGCTCGCTCAGTGTCTCCAGTCAATGTGTTCTAATACTTCAATGTTGAATGACACAAGGCCTTCCAACGCTCAACAAGACCCATAGCTCCAACACTTCAGTACCTGTCCTCGCTAAGAATAACATGTCAATCACAGACCCTGCTTAGTCTGACGTTGCTATATCGTCGTGACTCTGACCCACCCTCCCCACCTGGACTGACAGGTGTATTTCGGCACGGCGCACGCACGGATCTACATGTGCGCCTCTCTGCTGGGCATCAACTGCGCCACGGGCATGTCGGCGCTGATGCGGAAGGGCCCGCTGGACGAGGCCGGCGGGCTGCGCGCGTTCGGATGCTACCTGGCCGAGGACTACTTCTTCGCGCAGACGTTCCTGAACCGCGGCTACCAGCTGGCCGTGGCCAGCACACCGGCCTGCCAGAGCGCCGACACCGGGGATGTGATCGGCTTCCAGAAACGGCTCATTAGGTGAGGCGCGCGACACGAACCGGGGAGGGGTTAGGAGAAGTGCCGCCTGCCCGGCTGCGGCGCGTTATTGGACGGAGCCGAAAGGCGTCGTCGGACGGTAAAGCGCGGAGCGAACCGCCAGACGACGTCTGACTACCAATAGGGACGGCGCGGAAATGAGTTCAATATTTCGCCGGGCGGTGTGTTATGTAAACTGTTTACCGAACGCTGTCCGGGAGTATCGCGCTCGGGGTGCTCCGAGAGACGCGAGAGAACCTCTCTGCCGTCGGATGGGTTTGTTTGCCGCCCCTCGGAGTTTACCGCCCGGCCAGCCCCCGGGCGGTGTTTTCGAGTGATTTACTCCCCTGAGGCGTGTGGCCTTGGCTGTGAATTTGGCCTCTGAGTGGCTGGGTGGTAGGCTTTCCCCGAGGCCAGAGCTACATTGTGTCCCATAATGAGCCTCTGCCAGGGAAGATGAACAAGCAACCTTGGTGTCTGTCCTGCGAGAATGAGCGGCTTGTCATCAAACCATCTGGCGAGCCCTGCCGTCTGGTCTCCTGAACCAGAGACGGCTCGGCGCCGGTGGGTGACCCAGTACCTACATCATATGCGTCAAGTCATGTTACGCTGTCATGTAACTGACATGACGTAGTCCGGCCAGGAACGAGTGGTATGTTCCGCAGTCCGCACTCACTCGGTGCTGTCGCAATTATAAATGTTCCGCAAACCGGGTGGCCGGTTTGTTTGAGCGGTGCCGAGCCTCTGTGTTTGTCGGACGTGTGCAAGCCAGAAGCGCCGTCTCAGATGAACTGGACAGTGCAACTCTGGACAATGCTACCAGGACTGGACCTGTATGGATCGGACCTAGGAGCTCTGGCGGCGGCAGTGGGAGCAGCGGCGGTGGCTGTATCTCCCCTCAGGGACCGTAATCGGATCAACACTACAGCTGGTCGCTAAACTACGCCTTACCTACTTTCCGCTGTCATTACAAGTGGTTACGGGTTTACGGAAGTCTTCTGCTAGTCTTCTGATAATAATGCAGGTGGTAGCTCTGAATGACCGGCCGCCATTGCCACCTTCTTCCGTGTCTTCCTAGTCCGCCTTCCCTCCCCACATCCGCCTTCCCTCCCCACATCCGCCGTCGTGTTGTTATTTCAGCAACACCGCCGGCAATCTCTGGGCGACTCGGGGGAAAAGCGACGCCGTGTTTTTGCGCTGCCTGCGGCTGTCCCCCGAGTGGACATCCCTGCCGCGTCGGATGACCGGCGTCCGAGCGACCCGCGTGCGTCCGACTGCCGGTGGTGGCACCTCGGATCGATGGTCTCGGCTGGCCGGTGGTGAACAGGAGGCGGGGGGGGGGGGGGGGGTTACCTGATGGTTGATTGGACGAGCTGTTAAATGATACGCGTGTATTCTGAGAGCTTGACAAGGCTCTGAACCAGTTTGTAACAAGATACACGGTCGCCAAAGGGTTGTTATGGCTTAGGTTTGTTCATAAATGGAAGCTACTTTTAGTTGTTGCCAGACACGAAAGAAGCTGCGTTGATTTTATAACGATGTTTTATATTATGCTGGTAAATTCCTGCGTTGGATGCCTTAGGTTGAACTGAATCGTAGTGTATGGGTGAGTTATTGATCTACGGCCAAAGAGTGCGATGAACGGGGAATGGGTAACCGCTGTCCAGGCCGAATCATCATCGCAGCCAAAGTGCTCGCTCGATACGGTCTGAACTGATTGACCACGTAGGATCAACTTATTCACCGGCCGAGTAATCGTATCGCTGTTCTTTGTGCTGTGTAATCAGCACCCTGTTGGAGTATTTGGTAACCTAGTTCTAACAGGCGGACTGTTTGCTGTGTGCGCCATCAGCATTGTGCAACTGCAAATGCAATTAAGCCCAGAGTTCCGCTTGCATGTCGACATTGCCAGATCCGCCTTCTTGAAGCGGTGAACTTATCTCGAGTAATGCAGGCGACCGTTGACTTTGTTCTGTATCAACAAACTTAAAGGCAGTACTTGCAAGCCGGTTCTGGGTCATTTTATGCCGTTGCGTAGTACGTCATGTGACCAGGCTGAAGCCTGTTGGTTAATATGTGCTGCCCAGCTGTGATGCGTAACAGAACGAGAGCGACTAGGTTCAGTGACTTCCAATATCTTCCCTAATTGTTCAAATAGCTTATGCAATTCAATGATCGTGTCATCAAGCGTGATTCATGAGTGTCATGACTGGCACTAAGCGTATTGAAGCACGATTGCCAATGCTGCGCAATTGCGCCTAATCATTAGTTACGCGTCGTCTGGGTGCCTCACAGGGCACTCACTCATGTGATGATGCTCCCCTGCTCCCCGGTTGCCTTGTCCCACCAAATACCCATGCCTTTCCTCATGCCCCCCCCCCCCCTGCACCCCGCTAGTGCAATGTCCCGGCAGTGTAGCCCCGTTTGACCCGTTGTGACCCCCAAGACCCTGTGTGACCCGACTACCCCTTCTGTCGTCAGGTGTGCCCCCTATGACCCTGTTTGACCCCGACTACCCCTTCTGTCGTCAGGTGGGCCAAACTGCGGATCGCCATGGTTCCGTTCACGATCCTCATGGAGCCAGTGACCGAGTGCCTGCTGCTCGGAGCGCTGGGCGCCCTGGCCGCCCGCTGCCTGCTCCAGGTGGATCTGATTGTCTTCTACCTGCTGCACGTGCTCTTCTGGTTCTTACTCGACTGGCTGATGCTCAGCGTGGTCCAGGTGAGGGGGAGGGGGTAGAGGGGTAGAGGGGGATGCACCCGGCACCGTGCCGCAGTGCGCCAGCCATCGTGACCCGTCAGTGCCCGGGGCTATCGACCATGCGGCCGCCCGCCCGTCCGACCGACCGACCCTGCGAGCGGGGAAATGAGCACGGTTACCCATGGACCGAACGGCCGACGGACATGCAGACATGAATATTAGACGCTGGGAAAGAGACTGATGGGACGGGCTGGACAGCGACAGCGGCTGCCCGGGAACGGACTCGCTGGGACGTGACGTGCGCGGCCGCGAGGGGTCTGGATGAGCCTACATGGACAATTGCACAATGAGCAATGAACGTGACTCGTGCGGAATTAAATTAGAGACCGACATTTGCACATCCTGTCTTAAAAGCTGAGGCCTCTTGCACCAAGGTAAGGATATCCGTCGGACCTTACTTAAACTGGTAGAAGCGTGAATGCGGGCAAGATGGGAACCGGAAACAGCGCCATTAGACTTAACAGTGCCATTAGACTTACCAATTTTCCATGCGTGTTACTTTGAGTTTTAAAACAGGCACCGTCTTAACCCCAAGACTACTATGTGCCCAGTTGCTAAGAAAAGTCGCACAGCCTACGCATCGCGGATGTTTGACCGCTCACACTCGTAAGTGACGTCACAGAGCCGTGTTCCGCCGCCCGGTCCGTGTGTATTACTTGTGTGTGTCTGGTCGTATCAGCCGGCTGCCGGTCCGACATCCGGTATCCGGCCGGAGTCTGTAGGCCGTCCGCTAAACTACGACCGGAACGATCAACGGCCATTGGCCACACAGGAGCTGGACGCTGGGGTAGGATTGGGTGGGTGGAAAGAATATGACCGGTGCGCTAGGCTCAGGTCAGTAGAGATGGCTGCTGCTATCCGGGTAGCGCGGCTGCAGCATATTGATCGCAAGGCGCCAGCTGTAGGGAGATTGAGTTCAGAAGACGCTGCTCTTTTTTAGATTCAGTGGCAGTCGCGAATGCGTTGACGCCGGCAAGCAGACCTACGGACGTTTAGACGGACACATACGTTTGGATGACTGAACGCATTTCTGAAAACACAAACATTGTACCCGATCGCTTGCTAGCTTTATCGGATTTGCACTTGGTTGCTTGCTATTCAAGAAACTATTCGGAAGAACTTATTCAGAGATATTCCATTTCGGACTAAGTATGTGCATCGGCGCATTCAATTCGAAACTGCGTGCTCTGTTTCCCAGCCGAATGTCGTTGATAATGATTCTGCCACTGACTGTATCTCTCTCTGCTCCATTTCAGAACACCTCCCTCCGATTAGTGGTCGCTCTGCCGCTGACTGGTATCTCTCTGCTCCGTTTCAGAACACCTCGCTGCCGTTCAATAAGTTCGAGTTTGTGGTGGCCTGGCTGCTGCGCGAGGCGTACGCACCTATCCTGTTTCTGCGCGCTATCTGGGACCCGGTGATCCGGTGGCGTCACGGTGTGTTCAAGCTGCGCTGGGGCGGCGTGGCCGAGGAGGTGCCGGCGCCAGTGCCGCCTGCCGACGACGCCGTCAAAGTCAAGTTATAACGCCGGAGCACAGGTGGCGCTGGTGTGGCGCCCTTACTCAGCCTGCCGCGGCGCTGCGCGCTGCCGCATGCTCACGTGATACGGTGTGTCTAGTCAGTTGTGGTCGAACTCGCGGTGTGTGCCGGCCGGCCCGGCGCGCCCGGGACTGGTGGGGAGCGCTCCCCGCGGGCGGCCGGGCCGGGCGCTGGCCGTACCTCCCAGGCCGCCGGCCGGCTCATCAGTATTACCAGCCAGCGCCGGCTGGGCCTCGGACTTCCACGGCCGCCGCGCCGCGCCGCTCGGTACCGGCGGGACGGACGGAGTACCGCCGGGACGGCCGGCCGAGCGCCGACCGGCCGCCCGCGTGATTCGTGACTCGGTGTGTGCAGCACGTGACGTGCGTCACGGCACAGTGCAGTAGTGAGAGCCGACAATCCGTGCGGGCGGCGCCGCTCGCTCGCCGCCGCCGCTGCCATCGTTCGAGGCATTCCGTTGTCGCTGCCGCCGCTGCCCGGGGCGCTGGGCTCCAGTCATTCATTCCTCAGTGGTTGGCGCTCTCCAGACAGCCGGTCAGTCCCGCCAGAGTCTGTCCCTTCCAGCCAGTCCCCCCCCCCCCCCAATGACAGCCAGTCATCCCCCCCCCCCGGAGCGACAGTCGTCCCCCTCCGCTGAATGACCAACCCGGCTCTCATGGTTCACCGCGACTGGACTCCGACTGCCGCCCGCGGACTGGCGACCGGCTGTCTCCCCCTCCCAGTGATGTTTCTGAGGGCCCACACCGGCCTCAGTGGGCTGCCGGGCCCGCGCGTGCATTGTTTTACTACTGTGAATACAGTGTCTTCAAAAGACGGGTATGTGTCATGACTCATGGGTACGATATGAACGGCGCTCTCATAAGGCAGAAGAGGAGTCGTTGGTTGAAGGTGGATCCTCAAGACGACAGACTTGTGTAAACCCGATTTAGACGGTTACTTTCGATACATGAACAAGTCCATGCTTACCACGCTTTGGTATTTAAACATCGATCCCAAATCATTTGAAAATGCGCATTTACTTAACCCGTTTAGCTCGGGACTGGGTCACTTTCGAAAGAGAGCGAAGATGCAAAGACGGGCGCGTGCTGCAACGATATCCCTAAAATCAGACTCATACTGATTACAAAAGTTTAGTTTAGTTTATTCCATCAATCATTCACAGGCACACACTCAATGACGAATTAAGTCATAATATAAAACAACACAGGAGCTCCTAACGAGTCACAGGAGCTCCTAACGAGTCTATCGTGGCTGATGCGGTAAGACAAACGCCGGGTTTCCTCAAAAGTGGGGCGTGTATTGGTCCGATATAGACATTGGACAGACAGCTGTGATCAGTCAGTTCAGTTGCCGGATGACTCGGGTCGGACCGTCCAGCTCACAGGCCGGTCGGCCGCCCGGCCGTGGCTCCCTCCCCAGGCCCGCAGAACCGGCGGGACCCCGGCCGGTGACCGCCATCACGCCGCACTCCGTGGGGAGGCGCGGCTGCCGCGCGGCCCTGGCGCGGAGCGCAGACCGACCAGTCGCGCGCAGGACTCTCGGACGCGCCGAGTCCACCCGCCAAACATGCATCTCAGCTGAAGTGCGAGGGGACTACAGAGACAAGTCTTTCTCTTGTTCCGATGCACTTCAGCTGAGATGCATGCTCAGCGCGTGGGCTCGGAGTGTCCGGCGTCCGGAGCGCTACTGACCGGATCTGCGCGCCACACCCGGGCCATGCGGCGACCGCGCCTCCCCACGGAGCCAGGCGGGACCGCGGACCGGCCGGAGGACCGCCCGGACCACCAGCCGCGGACCAGGCGGTACAGCCGCCCCACCGGCCTGCAACACAAGACGCTACAGCGAGACGAACGAAGAACCGCGCGCTCGGTCGGATATACAGATGTTGACGGAAAGCACGTAGGGGAAATACGGTGCGAGAGCAGCTGTTGGAGATTATTGCGCCCTCCTGCGGGGCTGCTGCCTGGACAGCTGCGGTGGGCACGCGCGCGCTCACTGGAAGCTCTGACCGGCCAGCAGCGGCAGGGCTGCGCTGGAGCCACATGTCACACACACGCCGCGCGAGCCGCCCCGTGGAAAAATACCGTATAAAACTCTGGTCGGTCGGTGAGGGCTGGTCCCGGGGCCGGCGCGGTGCCGATTTGTACACACTCCACAGCCGGCTGCCGCCGCGGACGGCGCCACATCCGTTCCACACGCGCGCGCGCGCGCGCGCGCGACCTATTGCCTCCGTTGCGATAATCTCAGGGGGTGCGGCGGGGCGCGGGCGCTGCCCGACACAGCCGCCACTACGCACAGACACCGACGCTATAACATGCAGCAGCTAAACATGCACAGGCTAGCTGGAATACGCCGGCGCCCGCTAGCCGAGCGCCGCTACAGGGTTCAGTGTTCACCACTGACTACGGTCATGTATATAGGTATGTCTGCCGCTCGTCAATACGCACCGCAACTGCAATACGCACCGCCCACCTGACATGGTCACAATGACGCCCACACACACAAACAAACACGCTGTATAACACACTACACAGGTTCAGGGACACGGTCAACTACGGGGCACCGCCGGCGTCCGCCGACGTCCCTGCTATCTCTCAAACTGTATACATTATCAGCACCAACTCTCACTCTCCTCATGACAGAGCACAATGTACGTAACAAAACGGCACACTCGCGTTCATATCCAAACGCGGTCCGTACAAAACGAACATATTCGCATACACATGTCCGGTTATTACGCGGAAAAATTTACTCAATCACTCAGCCACTCAACGCATCGCGCTCTAGCGCGACGAGAGAGGAACCAGGCAACCTGCTCTCACCCTTGTCGGGGCGACATCCCATCCTAATTCCCCAAGAAAAGGCCAGCTTGGCGACAATTTAGGAGAGATTACAATAACCCAGCTATAAAAGTTGAAAGTTCATTCATTCAACACAAAAAATCACAACAGTAATACAAATCACGTAGCACACGATCAAGTAGCACGCGATACTACGGCCAAACAAGAATCCCTTGGTCCAAGTTTCGGTTATCGTCAGACGCACGAGTATTCACACGTAACTGAAAGAGCAGAGACACACACCCTCGACCTACGCAGATCGTCACGTGAACGGCCTGTGACGGCCCGTTACGCTGCCGTCACCACCTGTACCCTGGCGCCGAGCTGCTGGTCCCCCTCCCTCCCCGCCCCCGTAAATGCTGACCGGTCAGGTCACCTGCCTGACCTCAGTCTGTCCGCTGACCGTCAATGGTCCTTATTCGGCCCTCAGCGGTCCCCACTCCACCGCCAGCACTGCGGCGGGTCTCACTCACTCACTCTCCACACACCTCATGCTATCATCCGCAGACCTTTCTCCTTTCAATGTCTGTCCGAGAGCCCTTGACTCCCCATCCTGTCACTGTTTAGCCGCACAGGCTGCCAAGCAGCACCCAGAATACGCCCGGCTCGGCCAGGCCCTTCTCCAGCGGTTCGGGGTCGTGTTCAGAGCCGCGCCGGCGGCGCCACCAGTGCTGCTTGGCCGGCCGGCGGGCCGTGGCCGGCAGCACCGAGGCGCGCACGGTCGGCCCGTCCGGGCTATCCAGCAGCGGCTCAGCCTCGGTCTCGATACGGTTCAGCGATGACTGGCTGAGGTACTTGCGCGGCGACGAGGCGCTGCGGCGCACGGTGGCGTAGTCGGGCGACTCGGAGCGGCCCGACGACTCGGCTGTGGGAAAGGGGAGAGGGCGGTCAGAAAAGGGACCGTGGCCTATTGGGACACCTGAAGAGCATGTCGAACATGGGTGGAGAGCGAAGGGTGACAGAGAAATCCTAGACTCAGGAACAACTGACACATACTGGGAATATATTACACAAACAATGCAACAAGCATGAAACATGCGTCGACAACAGGCTCACAGAGAATCAAATAATTCAACTTCAGCTAAACCCGACAGATGAGCGCGACACGGCCGCAACGGCTCTCTCTGTACCGGAGGGTTGGTAGAGGGCTGGAGAGGGCGCTGAGAATCAGAGAGGGCCACCGAGCGACACAGGCAGCGCCGGAGGACGCCGTGCGGTGGCGCCATCTGTCCTATCGCGCACTAGAGGGCCACAGAACGACACAGGCAGCGCCGGAGGACGCCGCCCGGTGGCGCCATCTGTCCTAGACCTCCTTATCGCCGCGGTTAGCAGCGTCGTGGAAAAACACCGGTCCGAACCGGTCAGCAGCGGGGGCGGGGGCGGAGCTGACGACGCCAGCCGCGGCTCAAATACCGGCGTCTGCAGGATCCCATAAACTCAGAATTCAGACCAAACTGTAAATAACCCGATAGGCTGACCGTTTTGCGGCCCAGTTTTTGCACGTCCCACGTCAGCCGGCAAAAACAGCCCACTTTCTTCGCAGGTACCGGGGTTGGGCGCAAAAACTGTCGGTAACAAATAGTGCCGGCGGATTGTGAGCAGACTTTCGCGCACTCCCCCCGTAAACACCAGCGTGTGGCCTGTCACAGACTCCCCGGGGCGCGGAGGACGGAGAGCGGGCGACAGGGGCGCAAAAAGAACGGCATGGTTGGCGTCAGGACGCAGGGGAGTGCATGGAGCGAAACGGCATCCGCCGTCGGACACTTCAATCCTCTTTGAGACGAGAGGAAGAGATCAAAGCAATCGTCTTTACTGGGACTTGTGTGTTGAACCAAGGTATTAAACTTTGATTTGTCTGACTAGGTCATGCGGGCTCGGGCGTGAGCTCTCAGACAATGGCGATGGAACCAGCCCAATCAATTTTGATTTGCCTAACCTGAAGTAATTTATTACACTACGCCATAATATTGCATGCGGGTTTGGGCGTGAACACTTCACAGTACCATGTATCAGCTAAACTGACAGTATTCGGCAACACCGACATCAATGCAATGCCAGTAATAAAACATTGCAAATACGACACTCAGACCAAACCGCTAAGCACACGTACCGTCAGCGAAGCGCAGGCTGGCCAGGCTGAAGCTGAGCGGGTGGAACTCGTCGCCTCCATCGTCAGGCACCTCGGGGCACGAGTCGGCGTCGCCGTCGCCGGCGTCGGTCCGCTCGTCGCCGTCGGCGGCGGCGGGCTCCAGGTCGGCCGAGTGCAGCACCTCGGCGTGCACGAGCTGGCGGGTCAGCAGCGGCTCGGCGCCGGCCACACTCGAGGCCACGCTCACAGTGCGAGCCACCAGCGGCGCCGGGGCCGGAGCGTCGCAGCCACCCGTCGCCGCGTCGGCACCGCCGCCCGGCAGAAAGTCGCGCTGGTACGCCTCGGCAAAGTCGAGAATCTGGATGCAGCGCTTGCGCGCGCGGTCGCGGATGTCCTGGGGCTCGCGCTCGTCTGTGGAGAGGAGGGTTCGGTCAATAACAGAGACAGGCTATCAAGTTTGTGTAACGATTAGCAATGTGATACGACTGTCCACCTGATACGATATGTACTGATGTTTTTCCAAACCTTTCTGCAGAGACGGACGTTAGTCGAGGTAAGCCAGATCGAGACACATCATTAAAGTGTATCGCAACGCGACCGGTTGGCCGTGTCAATCTCTGATCAGCTCTGCACGGGTAATTAATAGCCGCCCGGCGAGCTGAGGCCGGCCGGCTGTCAGTGATAGTGCTGAGCGGCGCCGGGCCGGTCAGGCCGCGCCCAGAGAAACGGTGCCAGTCCGACTCGCCGCGTCAGCGCGCGCTGCCTTTGTGTTCCTCCCGGCGGCGGCACCAATAGCCACAGCAGCACGAGTCTCATAAACACTGACCGGTCGGCCGGCCGGGACTGACTGAATCGTGAGCATGCAAAACAGGCCCGGGGCGGTCTGTGCAGCCGAGAGGTCGGCCCACCCCTCTCGACCGAGCCGCCGCCCTGAACGTGACCGATTAACATACAAAGCAGATAATCTCGGGGAAAATGGATTCATCCCGGCCGCACCCCAGGTTGCAGCCACTCTGCCCGTGCCGCGGCCGCGGGCGAACCTTCGCTAGTCGCGGCGAAAACCGCCAGCACCACGCCGCATTATCATACAGGCGGAGTGCCAAAATTACAGCCCCGCCGTAAAAAACGTGGGGAATAGCTGCGGGGCGTCCTTGAAAGTCGCTGCGGCATACCGGAGTCGCATGCATCATCACAAACAGGCATGGGTGACCCTAAGGCAGGCCTACCAACCATCACAAACAAGCATGGACAAACGTGTCTAGTGTCTACCAGAGGTTGAGTAGCTTCAGTAGCGTGAGTCGGCTGAGGTGCGTGCCCTGGGCGGTGTCGGCAGCCGGTCTATCTGAGGTGCCACCGGTGGCGCTATCTCGAGTATCGGGATCGGCGCCCGTCTGTCACGAACGACTCTCATGCACACACCCAGAGGTCACCGGTTCAAACCAGATAAACGGGGAAGGGTCATTGGGGTCCATAGGCGGCGAAAGGGTCAACGGAGTGGTAGGTAGGCGAGAGAAAGGGTCGTGGAGTGGTTGGAATGTAGCAAGGTGTGTGGAAGGGCTGATGATTGTTAATATGCATTAAGGTGGAGCGACCGGAAAATGACTGGGAAAGGGTAGCCGCGGAGTCGTGGATGGAAAATTAGAAATGAAGGGTAGATCGGCAAGGGTAATCAGAGGCAGATAAGCGGAACAGTTCTCCAGTAACGGCCGGAATGGTGTCTGGTACTGACTGGATAATTCCGAGGGCGGGTTAGTCCGGTTAGTCTGTTTTTCTCCTGCACTGGTGCAGGAACCAACTGTTTATTTTCTTCCGCCGCTGATGCAGAATCTTGAGTAATCGTGCTTCTTTCATCGCCAGCTGCGGGGTAACGAATACCCATCTTTCGTATCAACTCGCTCCAGTAACGTCGCAATGCGACTGTCTGAAGAGTGAAGACTGTCTGAGGCGTCACCGATCATGACGGCGCAACACCCCACCGCCTCGAGGCCGTGCCTATCCTTCAATGACGTCATCCATGAACATCGCCCTCTGATGACGTCACCAGTGGGGTCACTGGGTCCGCCGCCGTCGCCCACTCGGCCCCTTAGCATCAGTCGCAGTGGAGCTGACTGACATACCGGGAAAGACCATCTAGACCGACAAGCCGTGACAGCACGCCACCGCATCCCGGGTGAGGGCAGCGGCTCGATCACAGGACCCACGCGATCACTGAGGGACCCATCCTCCACAGCGGGTTCGACAGCGTGAAAGTAGGGGCTTGAGACACCACAGGGGCGCACACAGGTAAAGGCGACCTCTCACCTTCCAGCGGAAACTCGATCTACAAACAGGAACACCGCCAGCGGCGCCCCCAGGAAAAGATGCCGACTCTACGATAGTGCCGGGCGCAGATATACAAACAGCCGTGTATGCAGCACACCCTGGACATCCGGTCACACTGGGCTGACTTTTCGTGAGCCGCTTATTCCTGCCCGCAGACCTTGGCGAGTGGTGGAGTAGCCGTGCCGGGGAACGGACAGGGTGCCCTTGGCATTCCCTTCACGGCATGCAACGGAGGTGCAAGGTTTGTCATTAATGGCCCAATAGCAGCTCCATGCCCGAGCAAGGGGTCTGATGATTTTGTTAGCGTGCATTATAGCTTAGTTCTAAATAACAACAATCACCATACTCAAATGCCTGCACTTTTACACAGTCAGCCTCTTTAAAAAATGCTGAATAAGCCAAATACGAAATACGGAGTTCCGACGGAATATGCCATTGCTCATACTACCACGTATACGCCTGAGGTAGTGCGAACTCCCGGCATGCTCGTAATGAGGTAAAGCGATATTGCATCTCTAGCTCATATGTCCCCGACGGCCGATTACTGGCACTCCCTTAGCTTTACCCGAACATTCTGCAATGCCTGCCCACGGAACCGGGGGCGTACTGCGCCACTCCACTGGGACTGGCTCGGTCCGCGGCCGTCCCTCGCCTCTGAGAACTCACAGCTGCCCGAGACAGTTGCTGTGTGTATAGTACAGAGTCTAGCTCAAACCCAGCTGTGACTAGTACAGGAAGCTACACTCTGAGACTAGGCTGAACACTAGAAAAGACTAGTTCGGTCCGCGGCCGTCCCTCGCCTCTGAGAATCAACAGCTGCCAGCAACAGTTCCTGTATAGTCCCAAGTCCATCTCCAACCCAGCTGTAGCCTTAGGTAGCTTAGGCAGGTAGCTACATTTACACGACGGACTACGTTTCCGTAGACCATTTCTACCCAGTCACCTTGACGGCCCCTCGCTCGGCGGCGGCCAGCAGGGGTCGCTGGGATTTCCAGACGCTCGTTATGAGGACTTCAATCACCCGGCACGGGTTCTACAGGGTGATTTTTTTTAACTGTTAAAAAGTAAACGTCAATGGTGGTCCCTAAATAGAAAAATCGCGTGCAAAAAAGCAATGCACGTGATAGATAAATCTGGGACATTTTGTATGGTGTCATCATTTGTCCCTTTTAACCGACGGCCTCGGCCCCAATGGAGCCTGAAAATGTCCCACCAATCGGGCACGCATGGTCCACTACCGTTCAGTAAGGAATGACACAAAACGATGATTTTGAAGCATTGAGCCAGTTCGAAGCATACGATGATCAAGGAGATACCTCAGAAAGACGTTAAATAACGCATGAACAAGCTTGTAGTCATAAATAGCCTTCAAACGGTCCATCTGGCGTATGTGCAGCGTTTGAAGAATCAGTCTTCAGGGAGAAAGAAAAACAGCGAATCAGACACCACCAGGTCCGCCAATATCAAAATCCTCGACCTGCCCTCCCTAAACTTCTAGTTTTTGGACCTAGCTATGGCAGATATAACAAGAAAACAGTGGAAATATCTGGCAGAGCTGAAAATGGGCGATAGGAGCCTTTTCAGTCCGCCAAATGAGTATGGGAGTCCATAGTGCTGTTCAACACGTGCTCAGGCGGGCTGATTCGTGTCGGTGAGAGAGGGGGTAACTTCAAGCACAAGTAAAATACACGATGGACGTTCCTTCACATCGTGTCTGCATGAAATCAAAATGTCCCAGAATGCTCGTCATCTTGGCATATAATTTTGCCAGATATATTTGCATTTTAACCCCACTAGACTCCATTACTTTTTAACAAGTAAAAAAAATCACCCTGTATTTAGATCACGTCCATACACCACGACCCAGGTATATCCCCGGCTCCCAGCAGTGTTTGTGATGCACACAGGGCGGAAATCCCATCGCGGAAGGCAGCCTTGGTGGTCGGCATTCTACAGCCGTCTCCTATAATTCAGTCATCAATTATGGATTCCAATCAGAGACTGAGACTCCATATACTAAGCGTCCCTGGCCAAACCCATTATCCAGCTCCATCTTACCCATCTCTAGGTCCCGTTCCCCACCCTTTTGCTCACCTTTGATGATCTGCAGTAGCTGTTCGACCTGCTCGGCGCAGGCGTCCAGAAACTGCCGTCTCGAGCGCTGCTGGTGGCTGCGCGGCTCGTATACGGTCGAATAGGTCGGCTCCTCTGAGAAAGGGACACACACGGGGACAGTCAGTGTCGAGGAAAGTAGGCTATAGCAGTAGGAACCAATGAATAATTACATACCATTCCTGTTTAGCGGAGATGCCAGGAATGACAGTCTGATGGGATCACAAGAACAACAAATAATACAGCAAAGTAGGACACAGGAAGGGGTCCTATATGAGCACCACATCAGACATGCACCCCGTACCAAGCCAGCACCGACACAGCCGAACAGGTCAACGGGTAAGATGACCTTTTGGCCGAGACACGCCACCCAGGCGACCAAATATACAAATACCCAGCCCGATCGGAGGACATCACACGCCAGTCTGACGGCAATGGTGACCTCAGCTCCGAGTTTGGGGTACGGATAAACAGACAACCGTTCCATGGATACCTGCCCTGGATAGTCCAGGGCCATTAGATGAGAAAGGCGACCAGTCTATGAAACACTCCACACCACTCGCCTCATCACGCCAGATGGTTGTCCCGGGCCAGCCCCAGCCCCGGCATACAGAATCGTGAGCTCCAGATCATGACTCCGAGGCACGAATTTCGGCGCCATCGCCGGTGCTAGGCGTGGCAGAGCTCGGCTCAGCTCACCACGGCCACACGAAGTCGCACGTCTCCGTACGCCTGATTCATTGTCAGAGTGGACCGCCCCTGCCAGGATGCACCATTGTATGCAGCGACTGCACAGTGGACAACGACAAGTTGACAGCCAGTGAAGGTACCCACCAGGACTGGCAACCGATGGCGGACGCGTGATTGGGCCGATAGCGCTTCTACGCTTCCGCCCTGCGTCCTACACACGCACATATACACAGGGCGGTGACGAGGAACCGTGTCGCTCGCTCTGCACACAGCCTCTATCAACAGCGGCGCCCGCATACTCACGGCGAGGGCGTGCGTGAGCGAGCGGCCTGCGACACCCCACGAGGACACAAACACACGGAGACACTGACGGAGACGGAGCGATTGGACAGCAGAAAAAGGGCGGAGACGGAGTGGCTGGACGAGAGACAGTGATGAGACGCACCTCAACTCCGGTGGCAGTGGGCGGCCAGAGACACAAAAGCACGCGCACGCACACGCACACACAGACGCCGGTCTGCCCACGCGGCCCCGCCGGGGCGTCTCCAACTGCGCAGCACAGAAGCACAAACACGGCTCGGCAGATCGGCCCGAATCAGTGGCAATCCGCGCCAAGGCTGCTGTCTTGACTCGCCAACCAGCTGGAGTGGAGAGCTGAGAGGGCTGGCCCTTGTCCTCGTCAACACAGCGACGGACTCGCTGCGCCAACAGTGCAGTAATCTGAGCCACTGCACGGCGGATCAGTGCGGCCCGGCCATTGGCGAGCGACCTCCACGGATATTTACAGAGAACAAATCACAATCTGTACTGGTCAGCCGGGATGGGTCCCCATCATCGACAACCAGCACAATGAGTTACAAGGCGAGTCCAAGAACCACCGAACGATTTCGCAGCATTTTGGCCGGCCTGACAGAGAGGGTTGGATTTATCTATATCAGTCTTCCTACTTTACACAGCGATGAGTCTCAATCAACAGTTGACGCACCAAGCCATATGACAGCTTGCTGATTCACAAGCCGCCCTGGAGTGATACACAGTGTACACATGACATCAGGCCCATGGAATACTGTTTCCGGACAGCTACTAAAGCGCTGTTTCCGGGCAGTAACAGGATGAATCGGCAGCTTCGTAAGAGACATTTCCGCTGCCGCAGCCAAGTCTGGCGCCCAGAGCCGCACACAGCTCCGCTATCGGAACACGTAGACAGACAACACATCCGCCGCCATTTCACAGTACCGAGCCGAGACTAACAAGCCTGAATTCGTCTGTAATCGACAACTACCACAAAAAAGCATGCATTCCCGTACCCGTCCAATCGCTCCATGAGCAACAGCAGAAGGAACTCACGACACACTAACAGTTGACATACAAAACTATACATAACCAAGCGACATTATCATCCTCGGAAAAGAGCGAAGGACAATCTTTCCATTTGCATCGCTTTGTGACGGTAGCTGCGTGACAGTCAGACCCAGCCCAGCCCAGTTTGTTCCGCCAGCACGCCGCCCCCACTCCGTAGTACGGAGCCGGAAGTCAGTACGCGGCGCCAGTGCCGGTGTCGGCGCGTGGACTATTGTTGGCACCGCGTGGCCCGGGACCGGCGGGGCGACATCCGGTCTGCGCGAGTCGGCGGGCGGCGCACTGGGACTGCTGGCGTACAGCCAGCACTGCCGGTGCCGGAGCACTCACATCCGACACCAATGACCGGCCCGGCGGCGACGGACAGCGGTCCAAGTCACTCCAGAGACGCTGAGGACCGCTGGCGCCAGGTGAGGCCCACTCGCACCTCACGGGCCCGAAATACCTCGGTGCTGTAACTTCCGGCAGCCGTCCAAAGCTCGGATACGCGTGTAATAGACACACGGAGTTGCGTGTAAACACCGTGAAACAGCACTGAGCTAATCCAGCGGGCTGTTACCAGCGGGCATCCAGCAACTACGCATTACCCTCGGCTTCAAATAGCATCCGGCGTTAGCTGAGATCCTCTGCACGACCCAGCACACATCCGAGCCACCCGGGCGGCCGTCCGACCAGGCAGATTAGCACCTGCCGCCAACGGCGACTGCCTTCAACGATGCACTTGTACCAAAGTCAGTCCGTACTCCGTACGTCAATGAATGCTTGAGTTCAGACAAATACGGCCCAATCATCAGTCAAGTGATATACTGACCCACATTCCATAACACAACTTTCCTTTAAATTGCATCAATCAGGCACGAGCTCCATCCAACCCGAGAATCTCACACATTCCCGTGGTTCCGTCTGAATCACCGAGTCACGATCTACTCCAGCCGAGGTGAGTGAGACAGACGGCTGAGCTGAGGTCCAGATAACATCGGCACGGGACGGCCATTTGCCGCTCCGGGTGACATTTTGTCGACGCTCCGCGGCTCCGTTTTTTTGTTGAGCGACCGGTGCGGACCGCGGAGACAGCGAAAAATGGACGGCGGAGAAGGGAGCGGATCGGGCGGGCGATAGGAGGTGGTGCGAGAGAGTTAAATGGCGATACGAGTCACCGGAAAGAGCCCTGGCCTTTGGAAGCCAAGGACTGAAACGTTGTAAGAATAAACCAGCCCGATATCGAACAGAGTTCGTGAACAGGGTTGAATGCCGACGCTGTAACGAACGACTTCCTTGAATGTCTGCGGCTCGTGTGACCTTTCCAGTGAAGATCATTGACCATACCAGCTGAGTCCACATGACATTTGATCACAGACCCTTCAATCGACACGTGGGCCGACCACGCCACCCCGGTCACAGACACGTCACCTGTCGAGCCGGCTCTGACCTTTAACCTAACCGTGATCGATGACAGACCCGTCTACCGGTGCACGACCTGTGTCAGTCGCCAGAGCTCCTATCCGGCCATCGCAGACAGAGAAACTGACGAAACACCCACCGGTAACGGCACACAGTGACGAAACAGACCCCGAGATATCAGCGCATTGTTGTGAATGAATGAAGGAAATGAGAACAATGAATGAAAATAACGCCGAAAAAGACGCGTGTGGAGTGCTTTAGTGAGGATGTCAGTATTCCGACTCTGTTGTTTGTCGTCAGTCGTGGTGAGTTGAGTCTTATCTGATGAAGACGGCAACAACAATACCAACACGCCCGAACTTGCCGCGGGTCCGGGTCCACCGGGCGGCCTTGGTGCAACTTTTCACAGCGACACCAGCGTGACAGCGCTGTGGTGGAGGTGGGCTTCTCTGTGGCGCTCACATGGGTCGGCTCAGAACGGCTCTCACATGTCTAATCACCAGTCTAGTTTTCCCAGCCAGTCAGAGCTCAGTGCCAGTCCCGGTATCAAGTCTGGTCTGACCAGTGAACAGGCTAGTTCCGAGCTGACTGTGATTTTCAGATCCGTAGCCTATGTCTATCTGGGGAAGCTTACAATTCATCGTACCACGTTTGTTCATCAGCCAGCTCTCATAATCAGTTCTAATCACCAGCCACATGCTTACAAGCGGGGGAATCACATTAAAACTACATCTACCGCACAGGTGGGCAGAGTTAAGTTTTCCCGCATAACGATGATCAGCCGTTTTCCGGACAATGTAACAGTAATGTCGGAGACAGAGACTAATTAGTGCAGAGGTCGCTTTCCTGTAGTCTCTTGTGATTGAATTCTTGCGATGAAAACGAAACACAGGTGGTGGGTTATTCTCCGTAAACAGATCCCACAATCCGATAGAATGTGGGCCGAGCAGACGGAATAGGGAGTCACGCCACGAAAAGGATCTGGGTAAACAACTGACATAAGCCTCACTCGAAACTGGGCCAGTGGTGTGGAGGCTAACTGGCTGATTGTGGCACTGGCGCTTGTGTGGGAGCGCTGCAAGTGAAACACGCCAACCAAACATGCAAAGTCGCCGGTGCGGTGTTGTAATTCAACAGGCCGTATCCTGAGCCGTATCCTGTTGGCTCAGAGGCGCCGACGGATTTCGAGCGAGCAGCCGACTTGTCAGGGGGGTTGCTTCAGCAGGTTACCGAGCCATGCAGATCCGCCCGTCCATCCGCAGTCCGTGTCTGTCGGTCCTTCGGTCCGTCAGCTCATAACGTCGCCTCGGAGCACCACCGGAGCGCCCCTGCCGTTACATCAATAAACACCCTGCCAACTAATGACGACCGGTGCCCTCGGCTGTCCTCGATCCGACATGGACGAGGTCACGTCTGTCCTCAGCTCTGTCCACTCTCCGGTCCAGACCCCCTCGGGCCCTCGCTGGCCCCTCGGACCCCCGCGGGGGTTCGTCTGAACATACACAGCCCGGGGAAGTGGGCAGCGCGACTGAAGGTTGTGGAGACAGGCAGAGGCGGCCAGGAGCTGAGGCTGTTTATTTGCGAGATCAGCTCGCCTGTGACGGATCGCGCTGCTGCCGGACACGCTCCTCAGCAGTGGCCGCTCCCTGAACGCGCGGCAGGCCAGTTCAAACCAGCTCGGCACAGGACAGGTCCTATCAGCAGCCCGCCAGACACGATGTGGCCTGTTCTGTGCGGATGGCATTGGAAAACACTGCAGCAGTGGCAGAGCCTGTTAACGCCAACGATAAGCGTCTCAGGGCGCACCATGGCAAGTGAAATGTGCATCGTGCACGGCTTCTGGACGGAGCCTCTGATGTTTCGGCTACCAGCAGCACTTCTGGTTTCTGGTTGGATGGTTGGTTTACATTCAGTGATTTAGTCCGACCACTTAGCCATCCATAATTACTGTCTGGACAAACAGACACCACGCTATGTAAACATAACCTGTTGCGCGGATCATGAGCCTGCACTTCAAAGGGAGATTCCGTGAATAATTTAGCGCTGAACCATAGCTGAACGTTTAATGGGTCTACACTGCCACGTTTGAGCTGACACACGAGGCTGTGTTTGTAGAACATTGCGGCGCACCATGAGGCCCCCTCGGCGGACTAAATTCCACGTGTCCAGCGGACTTCATAGAGGCCCGCTGCACCGCCGAGCCGCTCGACCATCTGTCTATCCGTCGATCGGCGCCGATCTCATCTTCATGCGGAGCGATCGGCGGGCGGGCCGGACCGGGTCGGACCGGTGCCTGACCGCCGCTCCGACACGCTCCAGACGCCGCCGGCAGCATACATTACACCGATCAGGGGGTGTCTGTCCGACTGCAGCCGGGCCGGACCGCCCGCCGCGCCCTCCCGCCCACACAGCCGCCTGGCACCGGCAGGAACCGCCGGGCCGGACCAGTGCTGTCGTCAGCACCGTCAACAAACGCTGCTGGTGCCGGTGTTCGTACCGGGCAAAGGAAAACAACATGGATTAAAATTCTTGGCGTAATCTCCCCAAGCTATGCACAGGGAAAAGAGAGACTGTGGCCAACCGACAACACCAGGACAGAGTCAACTCCAATCAGCTAGTCATCGTGACGCAAATCAAATCGAGCCTTCTACTGCCGAATAATCCTACCTTCTCTATCATCCCCATCCTCCATCTGGAACAGCCCATCCTCCGCCCATCCCTTCCCGACGTCCTAACCGGTCAACTCACCGGCTCCGGAGTCCGCCGACAGGTTGTGCGCGTTGTGGGCCCCGTCGTCGAACGTCTCGACTCCGCTGTCGGAGGAGGCGCCCGTCTCGGCTGTCTCACTGTCGGCCGGCCCCAGGCTGCCGCCGTCCAGACTCGGCGACCGGCTGCGCGACAGGAACGCCTTCAGCTTCTCCGAACGGTGCGCGTAGGCGTCCATCTTGGCCATGACGCAGTCGCGAACCGCCTGACTCATCTCTGTGGAAGAGAGGGAGAGCGGGGTCAGTTCACTGGGCGTGTTACACATTGAAGGAAGCACGAAACCTATCGCTGCCGGGAAGCGAAGGGGCGGGTTTGTGGCCAGCGCACGGGGCAAAGCACGCACACGGGTAACGTAAGGAGATAATCCGGCTAATTTTGCCTAAGAAGTGCCAAGTTCGGATTGCGACCGCCACGTTGCAGGATCTTGCCGCACGCACATTTACGGATTTTGTCTTAACTTCTAACTGCATCGAGTGAGCTGCTAGCACAGCTGAGGTATACGGCGAAACTATTCGTGTCCAGTTTTGGCTGGCACTGTGGCGGCAGACATGGGACAAACATAGTGATAAGTGTTGGGTGCACGTGGGCCTTTCAACAGGAAGTAACTGCGTGCAGCTGGCGACGCTGATGGATGGGGCCATCAGCGCGGCGGCGGAGCGCTGAGCAAAGGTGCACGAGAGCGCACAGACAGACAGCCAGAACACCTGGGACCAGCGAGCGGTCACAAACAGCTCAATAAATGACCGTCTCTAACAGTCACCCTGACGTAAAGCCCGCGTAAAACACCCGGCAGAGTTTATCGGACTATCGCAGTCCTGGGCGCGACAAAGGCGCTCCAAATGTCAGCCTCGAGACCAGGGCAGGTGCCATTAATTCAGGCACGAGGCCACCCACGCTGAGACCCGAGCGGAGACGTCGACGGTACCCCGCTGTGGCTGGGACGGCTGGGCGGAGGAACGGAGAGGAGAGGAGAGGAGAGGAGAGGAGAGGGAAGCACCGTCTTCCGCTGCGGGTGTTACAGGATTAGGGAAAGCAAACTGACGATGAAGAATCGATGGAACTAATGAAAAAAGATGTGCAAAGTATCTCAAAGGAGCGCGGGCGCAATTAGAATCCACTTCCGTCCACGGGATGATGTAAATCAGACAGGAGAGGTGGGTAGATGGGCGGTAGGTTTTCCCAAATATCGCTCACCGGTCCACCCACATCCACTTCACAGACAGGGCGGCATAGGGAGGAGGCAGAGCGAGAGAGAGAGCGAGAGAGAGAGAGAGAGAGAGAGAGAGAGAGAGAGAGAGAGAGAGAGAGAGAGAGAGAGAGAGAGAGAGAGAGAGAGAGAGAGAGAGAGAGAGAGAGAGAGAGGCGCAGGGAGAAGCGGCGCCTAACAGATGGTGTGACGGACCGGGCCGAGGGCAGAGCAGGGTCACAATGAGATTGTAGGAGGCGCGGCGGGCGGTCGTCGGCTCCGACCCGGTGATGGATGAAGGCATTCAGATCACCGCGGCAGTCACGGTGCGAGGGGCTCCACTAGCGGGCCATAGAGCGCCAAGGGACTGGCCGACCCCGTCCAGCTCTGATACACAGTGTGGCCGCCCGGCGTTCCAAACATGCAGCGGCACGGCCCAGCAGACGAGGCGCGGCGGCCTCGTATACACTCTCATACGTCATCGGCATTCAGGCCCCTACAGAGTCTCTCTCAGCGCTCACACCTCATTGAGAAACGGTCGTCATCGGGCATGAACGCCACCTTTCAGCCGAGACAATGCGGCCGTGATGAGCCCCCGACACAGCCGACAGCTCCCAATGAGCGCCATACAGGGCAGCCGCCGGCACGCCCTCAATATTAAATCCCCCGTAATGAGCTCCACACCCACACAGCACGAACCAATCTGGATCAGACACTTGTGCCAGCCCGTGGGCCAACTGATCGCCAGTCCCTAAAAGGCCCTAAGACCCGACCGACCAGCAGACTGTCCCTCTCCTCCCCCTCCCCCGGGAGGCCCGATGGCGTGACAATGTGACATATGACGTCACACACAGACGTCAGACGTACCCTGAGCGACGACGCAGTCGAAGTCGCGCAGCGCGGCGTCGTACTGGGTCACCGCCTCGCTGTACATCCCCTCCAGGTCCAGTTCGGTGGCGCGGGTCACGGTGCTGATGGCTCTCTGGAAAACAAGAGAAAAGACAGGTTAGCAGCAAGTCAACGGAAGGTCAGACAAGGCACAAGGGTCAGCGGTCGATGAACAGTCAGCAGAATCAGTAGTATGAACCAGCAACGTGTAAAAAAGGCAAAGGCGAAGCAGCAGAAAACTATCAGCACTACAGCCTACGACAGGTCATCAACGTCTCGGCTGTGTGACCGTGTGGGTGTTTGTGTACTGAGAGCTGCTGCGCACTAAGGTTATCGGTCGCCGCGTCAGGTCAATCAGTGAGACGACGAGCCCGGATGTGTTGTTGCGCAGAGCACACTGTAGGACCGCCCATCAATTGCCCCGGCACTACGCAACGGCACGGGAAGTGGCAGTTTGTCATTGTCGAGCGGGTGATTCGGCCAGCACTCTGCAGAAAGTGGACAATGGGACCGAGGACGGGCAGAGACGGTCGTCATTCACACTCAGAGACAGACGGCGGCGTGGGATCGACGGAGGGAGCAGCTACTGCAGTCGCCGCGGTGGCGCAGATAGTCGGCCGTTGAACTGCACCGTCTCGCCGCTGCAGAAGCCTGCGTGTCACCGTGCAGCGTTTGTCGCAGCAGCGGGCGGCGACACACCGCTAACGAGGCACGCAGAGCGACTGGGCGGAGCGCGCTGACTGATCAAAGAGACGCCAGCGGCACCGGTCGCCAGGGTTGGAAAGGTAGACAGATGGCCGTGTAGATATGAGCCGTACGACGAACACGCAGGTAGGAGCATCTCAGGTGAGGTGAGTCGAACCTTTCAGCGAGCCCGCACAGCGAGCGACTGACGGACGGAGGCGTCGCAGAACTGGGGCGTGACGGGGTGGCGACGTGACGGCACCACGTCACTCAGAGTGACGTTTGGAGCCAGAGCGAGCCGGCGTGGGCCACCAAGGTCGTTCTGCGAACCGGTGAACCCGTGTCGACAGGACGCTATCGGATGGCATGGGAACGGGCAGCCGGTGTGCTGGCTTGTATCGCCGACAGCGCCCCACGGCCGGAAACGTGGCATCACGTCACAGCGTGACGGTCGACCGTGACGCCGTCACGTCCGCCGGCCCGGTGACGACCTGCCGAGCGGCGACACGGCGTAATTGGGCAGCCGAGCGAGTGCACTCGATCGCCTGTCATACATCACTCGGCCATGAATATTACATGAGTCCGTAGTTGGCCAGTTCCCGGTGCGGTATTTTCCTCCAGCCAACCGCGCGGCTCGGTCAGAAGCCCACGCTTTGGTGTAATGAGATGTAGAGCAGCTCGATCGGAGCCGGCGCCGGTCACGTTTTGGGCGGCCGTGACCGCCCCTCCCTCCGTGGATCGTGACCTCGCACTGATGCGGCCCGGCGACCGACCGGGTCACTGCAGGGGCACGCCTCAAGGTGCCTTCTCTGCTGACCGCGAGTCGCAATGCAGCACACAAAGGCGGCAGACGGACAGCGGCGTCCGACCACAGCCGACCTGCTAATGTATGCAGATGTGCAGTATGCAGTTGCTAGCCTCCACCATTTAGTGCTCGGAGCGGAGCAGACCAGGGGGAGGGCAGGGGAGGAGTATCCCCGTCAGCCCCGCGTCACAGCCGCGTGCGTCAGACCTCACGTGAGATCGGAGCGCGGGCACATCTGTGATGCACCCGGGGCGGATGTCAAGCTGCCAGTATTTATCACCCGGGCTTTAGTAGCAGCTTCACACGCAGTCATTGCCAGTGTTTTATCGCAAACACTTCTGATATACTGCTCCAGACTAATACCGGGAGTCAACGTTTATGGCACGGCGAATGGCGGGGATAAAACTGTGTCAATAAACGTTCCAAGTTCACAGAAAATGTCACTGAAATGTCTGAGAATAAGCGGAGACCGTGGGTGCGGCGAGTAGAGGCCGAGGCCAAGCCTCAGGATACGTCTTAACACAGTCGTGTGAAAAGTCGCAGGCCTGTTTTTGTCCCATGACCTCTATCGGAATCCTTGCCTGCGCACTGGGCTTTCAGAAAAACGCATAAGCGACTGACTTCCAAACACTGTTTGCTCTTTATTCTTGGGAAGTTAAAGCGAACACGTTAAAACTAGTGTACTAGTGTACTCAAAAGGTGCAAGAAATGCATAGCAAAACATACTCCATGACCCAAATGTTAGCCCATTTGCATTAGACAGGCTCAGAAGTGAGCAATCGCTCAACCGATATACATCAGCAAGTTCCATCAGTATGAAATCAAGGAAAAACTTTCACGCTGGAAGGCAACTCTATTCAGCTCATGCTGCCAAAGCATTACTGATGTGCATTAGGCCTTGATTAGGCAATTTATCGCCGAATAAATAGACAGCTCGGGCTGAGCTCATCTGCAAAAATAAACCAGTTCTAACATGGAAACAGTCGCAAAGCAGATCGGAGTCGAAGATGGGCGTGACATTACGTAAAATATTTCAGATTAAAATACATGGAACCAGGGATGCGGAGCCGTGGAAATTTCAGACGGCTCCGGCTCCGGCTCCGGCTCCGGAGAAAAAAATCGGCTCCGGCTCCGGCTCCGGCTCCGGGTGAAATGTCATTGCGGCTCCGGCTCCGGCTCCGGCTCCGAGTAAAATGATCCGGCTCCGGCGGCTCCGGCTCCGGCGGCTCCGGCTCCGGCTTCTACTCAGTATATCTCCTATGCGATCAATTAAATATGGGTGGAAGAAAAAAGGCGATGGGATTGGTACACGTTGCTTCTGTATTTGTATAACAAGGCTATTTTGAATACCACATTGTTTTACGCCTTGTACTGTCAAACCGAACTAGGTAAATAATTGTTTCCTCGTAAGAAAAGGAGCCGGAGTCGCCCCCTTTTTTGACGGCTCCGGCTCCGGCTCCGGCTCCGGGCTATATTGTTTCACGGCTCCGGCTCCGGCTCCGGCTCCGGGCAAAATATGCCGGCTCCGGCGGCTCCGGCTCCGGCTCCGGCTCCGGCTCCGCATCCCTGCATGGAACTCTAGAGTGGAAACCACTAACCAGTTCCTCGCTACTTCGAATGCAGGTGTCGATGATTCCCATTACGTGCACGTTCCAGACACTTGTAGCGTGCTCGGAATAGCGCGTCTGTCTCTCGAGAGCTGACGGCACGTAGCAGGAATCGGTCCCTGACGTCACGGCGTTCCCAGAGGCTCCCGTCACCCCGTGGTTCCAAGTCCGCTCGCCCCAGTGGAGAGTTCAACAGCGCATCGTCATCGCAGGGACAGGCGGCAGGCATGACACGACACAGCGAGCTTCGTATGGCCGCCGCTGGGCGGCGCTGCCGTCGCCGAGCTGCGAGGCCGAGGGCTTTTGTCCAGCTCGGCCGTGGTGTGTGTGACGTCACGGGCCAGGTGCGGCGCCGACCCGCTCTCTCCTCTCTCGGCGGCCCGACCAGCACGGCTCGAGCGCCAGCCGCCGGCAATGACAGGTCCGGTCGGCCCACAGCGCCGCCAGAGACCGGGCGAGGTCCGCCTAGGGTCGGCCAGAGGTCCGTCCGACCGGCCGTACCGCACGACGGAAAATGGCCGTGATGAGATGTCGGACAGGATAAGGGAAGGCGGCGTGTCATGGTTTGTTTAAACTGCATGTACTGATGAGTCAGACCGTCATACGATGGTCTGCGATAGGCTATCACTCACGAATGCTTACCGAAAATTTCGTATGCCACTTCGAAGGGGTAGCGATAGAGCAGAGTGTCTGCTGATATGATATAACAGACACTTTGGTCCGGGGTCGAATGGTGTGACCAGCTTATCAGCCCAGGTAGACGACTATGGGCGTTCAGGTAGGCGACTATGCACACATCAGCTTCACGACAGTCCACAGTGCAAGGAATAATCACCCAACTTAACAGGCAGCCAAGGCATCGCGCTCCTGCTGCTACGGCATTGAGCGGAAACCGCACAACAGCGAACCATTACGACCGAGAGGAGACTTCCACTGCGGCACAAAGGAGAGGGAGGTAGCGCCGGTGTCCAACTGATAAAAAACCCACTCGACACCGACTGTCAGCCGCGGCGGCGGTCCGGGGCTAACCGGCTGCAGCGGGTCTCCGAGCGTGTCATGCAGCCGATGGCGCCGCGATAACCGGGCTGCGTATGAATGGCAGTCGCGGGACGCCCGTTAGCCTTGCAGGGCCGGTAATCCGCACATTCCAAACGAATGACACCGCTTGGACACACAGACACCGAGCGCCGTCCGAGCAGTTACACTTGCTAGCGGTTACCAGTCCTGCAGACATGCGTGCGCAAGGAAAGTAGTGGTAAGCGGTAGCCTAACCGCCGTCAGACTCAGTGAAAAGACCAGGCGTCTCCTGAGATTTAACGCTCAGGGACGGTTCCTATGCTGACGGTGCGTTTTTCTTTCTTTGCAAACATCACGAACTGCGCTCTTGATCGCGGCTCTCAGGGGCCCGGCCGGCGCAATCGGCCCAAGTGGATGATGGGAAGAGACAGTCGAGAGGCTTTGTGAAAGCCGACGGTGTCTGCTGGTAAAATACCGCCCGGACGAGGCTCTCCAACTCAGGGTCTGGATGCAGGGCAGGCGGGTTCAGAGACGCGACAATCCGGACAGAGCCTCTCAACCGGCGGACATCACAGGTGTCTAATTCGATCCGCGATAAGGGATTTAAACAAATCCAGCTCTGCAAAGAATGCCGTACAGCGCGGCTGGTATAAGCCGGTCTTTGTCTCGGGTGCAGCTGTCGCCTTCTCTCTGTGACCGGTCTCCCTCCCTCTCCGAGTCCCGTTAGCACCAAGTCGGACACAGGTATCCCCAGAGCCGGCTGGGATGACAGCCAGCCGTGATAAGGTGACTCGGCGCCAGCCGTGACGGCTTAGCGCAGCTGTCCCGGGCCCAAAGCTCCGGATTAGACCGCAGGGACAGAGTCAGGAGGCGGGCGGGGAGAGGAAAGCCGGACAGCGGACAGCCATCAGAGAACATGGAGAGAATGCAGCCAACAGCCGGACAACGGGCAGCGGACAGGAGAAAGCAGACAGCGCAGCG